GGACCAGAGCGGGAGCAACTTGCTGAGTGGGTTTTAGTGTTTCCACATGCCCAGGGACATGAGGGGTCATGGACCCCTCTTCCTGGACCCCCTCTTCCTGGACCCCCTCAATCTCATGCTCAACTTAATCATAGCAAGGAGCTGGTCTCCCACATCCCACATGGGCTCCCCCTAAGAGTTGCATGAGCAACATCCTTCCAGCCCCAGGGTCTGGATGATCCCTGAGCCCCATCACTGGCTCCTGCAGATGTCAGGGGCCCTCTATTGCCTTTGCCCCCCAGGGGGATCCCCTCCTCTGTTCACAACTTTCCCATGGCTCCTACCTGACTCAGTTAAAGCCAAGTCCTCCTTTATTTACCATGACCCACCACAGAGTGACCCTCACAGACACTCAGACTCCACCTTCTCCCTGTGCACCAAGCTCTTCTGGGGACCTTGGCATTGGCTGTTCCCTCAGCCTAGAATCTGTTCCCTGCAATATAACTGCCTCTTTCCCCTTCAGGTCTGGTCAAATGTCGCCTCTTCAGAGACCTTTCAGCACAGATTTTCTTGGTCATCTTAGCACCTCCCATGTCCCAGAATCATTACTCTCTAGAAGCTTTATTTTCTAGCCCAGGGAGATACAAAGATTTTTGCATCTTGTTCACAGCTGCACACCCCCCCCCCCAACCCAGAACAGTGCCTGTGCTCAGGATGACTTGCGGGGTCACTCCAGGCACTAGCAGGGAGTTGGGGGCCTTGGCTCTCACCACCTTCACCACCACTTCCTACTTGAGTCCTCCAGGGGAACACCAGAGCAGAATGTGAGCCACTTACCGCCAGTGCTGGGTCTGCTGGAGAAGAGGAGGGAGCTGGAAGATGCTGACCGGGGCTTGAGGGCCCAGAAGGAGGTGCGCTCCCAATGGTACATGAGACTTTTTGGGACCCCAGACAATAAAATAATGGCAGTGAACAGGGGGCTGGGAAAGTGATGGAGCCCATTTATTAGCTCCAAGGTCTGAGACAGGTCACCCCACCCTCCTCAGCCTTGCTTTCCTCGCCTGTTAAAGGGGGATCAAGTGAGATCAGTTGTTGGTGCAAATACATGTGTGTTGAACACCCACTATGCGGTGCACTCTGCCCTGGGATCTAGCGGTCTCACTCAGTCTGAGCCCTCACGCAGCTTGTGGACTAGAGGAGACACTGTGGGTCTGCTAACCCTCCTGGCTTACCCAGCCTCCATTCTAAAAGCCCAACCCTATGTGGCACATCAATTAGAGCATAAAGCTGGATCACCCGGGAAGGATCTGCATCACCAGGTGTGGCTGGGAAGCCCGGGGGGCCGTTGACCGATGTGTAATGAAGGACCCCAGAAGCTGATCAGTGGCATGCCTTATTGATAAGATTGACGGGGGAGTCAGGGCTGTTCCACATACCAAACTATCAGCAGATGCACCGTTCCACCTTTCCCCCAGCTTCTTCTAATTCTCCCTTTCATTTTCACTTCCTCACGTGATTAGTGCTGTATGACTGGTTTAGCAATAAAAAGGCCAGGATGCTCTTCAGCGGCATCTTGTATTATGTAGCCACCTCCACAACTCTTGTTTCTTTGTCAGTGTGGCGTTGCCCGGTACAACAACAGACCACTGGCCTGGGAGGCTGCTATGGGGGAAAACACTGAGCAGGAACTGTGGGAGCCCAGAAGCTGCTAACTCCACAGGGGGTAGTCAAGGAGGGCTTCCTGGAGGAAGTGGTGACTTAGCAATTGCTGAAGGGCAGGTCAGCAGCAAAGGGGCATGGGCCAGGAGGGAGAAGGGGCAGAGGCAGCAGCAAATACAAAAACTGAAAGATAATGACAAAGCACAGATGTTCAAGGAACTGCCCTCAAGATGTTGGGGAACAGAGGGTAATTTAGCCCAGAAGGAAAGGCAGAGAGACCTGGCAGCTGGGGCCTGCAGGAGCCAGGGGCCTTCATCACAGAGTGCGAGGGCCGTGGTAGGCTTGAGCAGGGGTGCAGCAACCAGATCAGAGGCGACAGAGGCGCGAGGCGAGTGTGAGCCTGACAGGGCTTGGGTGACTTGACTCTTCGCCGCAGACACCCACTCCTCGCTCCGCAGGCCTTCCAGAACACCAAGGCAGTCCTGAAACTGCGCTGGCAGCAGCTGGAGCAGAAGGAGCAGGAGCTGAAGGGGTCCTTTGTCCGCTTCGACAAGTTCTTGCAGGTGGGTGCAGACACTGGGAGGCAGGTCAGATGAGTGGCAAATCCACAACTCTATGGGGGCCCCACGAATCACAGAGATATAAAAAGTGCACTCACAGGCCCTCCCTGGTGGCCCAGCGGGTTAAAACACAGCACTGAGAATCTAAAGCCACTTCCGCATGAGTTCGATTCCTGCCTGCCCCAGAGGTGACCACATGGCCTCTCCTGACCCGCCTGCTGCTCCCCTCAGTGGTGTGCTTCGTCAGTCAGCCTGTTCTGCTCCCCACTCTGTCTCTGGTGAATCCTCTCATCCACCGCCCGTGCACCTCTGTCCTGTACCCCAGCTCTGTATGCATTTATAAATAAATCTTAAAAAAAAAAAAAGGTGCACTCACAAATACAGAAAGAGGGTGGCTAGTAAACAAGCATGCACCGCTCCAAGCATTGCTTTTGACTTGAAAAAGTAGAGGGTCCTGAAGGAGAGGGTGCAGGAGCAGAGTCTGGAATTTGCCCCAGAGCCAACTGTTTGCTACCCTGGGGCGGTCCGGAAGCCGTGAACTCTGCGAGCTCGAGGGGTCGTCGCCTCCTCTCCCCAGGACGCCGAGGCTCGTCGCGGCCGCGCGCTGCGGAGGGCGGCGGAAGAGCGGCGCCGGGCGGAGCGCCTGGAGGCCGAGGCGCTGCGGCTGCGGGCCCAGCTCGCCGAGTTGCAGCGGGAGCGCGCGCGGCTGCAGCGCCGACTGCGGCGCCTGGAACCCTGCGCGCGCCTGCTGGAGCGGGTGCTGGAGCGGCTGCCGGAGGTGAGCGGCCTGCGGGAGGTGGCGGGCTCAAAGCCGGCGCGGCGCAGCGCTGGGGGCCTCAGGGACAGCCCTGGAAGGGCGCGCGCTACTGGACCGCGGACTGCGCCAGGCACCGTCACTTGCTGGCACTGACTGCACCACGGACCAGCGGGCTCTTGAATGATCTCCGCAGCTCAGGGGAGCGGGACCCGTTATTGTCAAGCCCGTTTTACAGGTGGAGGAACTGAGGCTCAAAAGTAATTTTCAAAGACGCAGAGGCAGGCAGGTGCGAGAGGAAGGGGGAGCCAGGCACTCAGTAAATATCAGCTGAATGAAACAAGAAATTAATGTGAATTCGGGCAGGGAGGCTCAGCATGTGTAGGGGAGGGGAGCTCCGGAAGGAATCGCCACCCCGGGGCAGGCGCTGTGTGTGGCCCCATTTCCCGGCTGTGCTGAGGCACCGCAGGCAGGTAGGGCGGAGTGGGGAAGCATCTGAGGCTGGGGTTGGAGTGGGCGCGCCCTGCAGTTCCAGGAGGTCTCCGAGCTGGTGGCGCGCTTCGGCAGCCTGGGCGACACGCTGGCGGCTCTGAGGATCACAGAGCGCCAGCAGATGGCACAGCTGGAGCAGGGGCGCGCGCGACTGCAGCGGCTACAGGACACCTGGCAGGATGAGCTGCTTCGGCAGGGGCAGCGGCGGGCGCAGCTGCTGGAGCGCCTGGAGGCGGCGCGGGAGCACGCGCTGCTCTGGGTACGATGGGCAGGGGAGGGGGCCCTGAGTCCCATCGCGCACTGGGCAGCGGAGGCGCGCAGGATGGACAGCAGAAGGGGTGCACTAATGGGAGACTCCAGCAAAGGGCTAGCCCTGCGCTGCCACCCCCAGAGCATCAGGAATGCCCCCTGCAGTCTCCCTGCCAGAGCTCACCAGCCAGCCTCAGGTGGTGGGAACCAGTGCCCTCTGGTCAGCGGTCAGCGTACAACTTAATGCGGGGGCGGGGTGCTCCCCAGGAATCCAAGTGGATTCAGATCCAGAACACAGCAGCTGAGAAGACCCTGCTCCTGGGACGTACCCGGATGTGGGCACTCAACATGTTCCAGCTGGTGTGCCAGCATCAGAGGCAGCCACCTGCCCTGGACCCGGAGGACACTGAGGGGCAGCTGGAGCAGGTGAGGCCCCTTTCTAGGTCTCCTCCAGCCCCCAAACCTTCTGGAACAACGTGGTGTCCGAGAGCCCTTCTGTGGGGTAAGCGCACCTTGAGGTCAGAGCCGGGAAGTGGGCGCCAGGGCCGCCAGGGCCCTCCTGCCCGGTCTCGAGCCCTCCTGCCGCGTGGCCAGAGGACGACAGGCTTGGATTACTGCTGCCAAGCCTTTCTGCCAGCGTCCACAGCACAGACCAATGACACCATCAGAGAGAAGCCAGGGGGGCATGCTCACTTGTAATTAACCCGACTCACCCCACACCACACACAGGCAGGCGCCCCTGGGGAGGGCCGTGTTGAGGGCACAGCAGGGCAGCCAAACGTGGCCATGGGCTTGCAGGGCGGTGGCACACGTGTCCTGGGTTGGCAACAGAGGGAAGTGTCTGCGTCAGGCCCGCCTGTTTCATCTCAGTGGGTCCCCACAGCAGGGCCCCTCTGAGCAGTGGGAGAAATCCAGAGGGAGGTACCCCCCCACCTCACCCGTCGTGCACCCAATAGCCAGTGGCCCAGCCCACGGCTAAGAACTGGCTCCCTGGAGCCCACCCTCATGTCACGTCCTGAGTTGGTGGGGTTTGGAGGTGCCGCTCTGCTCCCACATACGGCCCAGGGACACTGCAGGGTGTACGACTCTGGGGGACAATAGACTTCAGATTTTAGTTCAGTGAGAAACATGAAAGACAAGCCCACAGGCAACGCTTCCCAAGCTCTCGTCTCGGAAGGGCCCATGGGTGTCCTCTGAGAGTCATCAGTAAGCTAATTAAGACCAAATGATGGGGCCACCCGCGGAGAAGATGGCAGCAGGTCGTCCATCAAGTACGACTGATCCAATTAAAAGGGAAAAAATGGCGTAAACGAAAAATACTAATTTAATTATTGCACAGGTGAGTGCGAGCCACAAAACGCCTGCTGCGGGTTGTCGGGGAGGTAGGACCGAGGCTTTAAAACCCAGAGGGGTGTAGGCTGGGTCCTCTGCCCCTGGGCACAGCTGCTCCACAGGCTGCCGGTGCCAGGCAGGTGCCTGGCAGGGGCAGGGCCCGCTGCCACCCTGGTCTTGTCGTGACTCCCCAGGTGAAGCTGTTCATCCAGGACCTCAGCTCCATGCTGGCCAGCCTCGCTCAGGCTGAGCCCGCCACCCCCCACTCCTAGCCCTGCCGCAGGTGAGCAGCGGGGAAGGGGGTCCCTTGGGGGTCCTATCCCCGGGAGAGCAGCCACATCTTTGGGGTGAGGGTTGTGTGGCTCTCCATGAACTTTTTTCCCCACCCGGACTGTTATGGGGTGTACACGAGGCACATGACGACCCCCGGGCACCCGAAGGCCAGGCAGAACTTACGTATCCACAGGCCCAAATCCTCAGATTCAACCAACCGACATCCAAGGTTGGTCGAATCTGTGAATACAGAACCGAAGACCAAGTCAGTCTTCCGGGGCTTGCCCTCGACCTCCAGGACCCCAAACAGGGCCGGGGAGCACAGGACTGTGGCGTCGGTGTGCAGTGGGGCAGAGCTAGCCCTCGGAGCCCGAGGGGCGTCGCTGTGCCCTCACCGGGGATCTCCAGCCCCCAGCCCATTCCAGCTGCCGGCGGTCCTGGCAGGAGGCTGGGGCGCTGGCCACCAGCTTCTGACTTGCCTGCCTCAGGCCACTGACTGGCCGTGGTCTCATTTCCCTCGTCTGTAAAATGGAGACGCCAGCAGAGCCCGCGGCGGGCCGGGCGGGATGGCACGAGCCTCCCTCAGAGGCGCCAGCGGCCCGGCTCCAGACCCGAGCGGGCTGCGCTCCCGCCGAGATGTGCTCAATGAAGGTTTATTACATTATAAATACATCACGGGCCGAGGCACCGGGGTTCAGCGGTGACTGCTGGAATGCAGGGGAGCAGCCGCGAATTCCCGCCTCCGGCCTCGGCCCGCGGGGCGTGCTGTAGCCCCCCAACACGGGCAAGGCCCCCCCAAGTGTCGCAGGCAGAGGCGCGGCTGCCCCTCGGGGGCGCAGGTGACGCCTCCAGGGCTGCAGCCCCACGGGGTGCCCCCGGCCGCCTGGCGAGTGCCCACCGCGGGCCGAGTCCCTCGTCACATCTTCTTCCTCATCTTGCCCTTCTTGCCGCGGGGCCCCCGGCCGAAGGCGCCCCGCTGTAGCTCCTGGGCCCGGCGGCGGTTGCGGGCGGAGAGCTGCTTGAGGCCCCCGCGCTGCAGGAAGCGCATCTTCTGGGCGCGGCGCCGCTGCTTCAGGATCTGCTGCTTGGTCTTCAGCTCGGAGCGCACGTGGCCCGCGGGGGCGCCCGGGCTGCGGGGCTGGGCTGCACCTGCCAGGACAAGGATTGGGGGTGCTCAGGCTCGCCCTGGCCTCTGGAGGCTCCCTGCCCCCCCCCCCCCCCCGTTCGCTGCCCCATCCTGGCATCTGGCACAGAGGTGCTTGCCGGAGCCAGGCAGGCCACTGGTCAGCCGGCGGCAAGTCCAGGGCTGCGGACTGCAGACCCCGCCGTGCCCCCTCGGACCTTGGGCAAGTCACGGCTTCTCGGGGCTGCAATCCCCCTCTGGGAATTATGAATAACAGCGCCTAGCTCGTGGGCCCCGGGGGGGGGGCAAAGGAACCGGTGGGTGCACAGTGCTTTGAACAAGGTGCAGCCCACAGGTGCAACCCCCCGAATGCGGCCGCCACGGTCCAAGCCGCTCAACAGAGGCGCAGCACTGCGGCCCCTGCAGTGACCAGACAGACCCTGCTCCCCACTCATGCTCAGGCTGAACCCCGGGCTGAGGGAGCAGCCAGGCGGCCGGCTGCCGCCCCTTGGCTCGGTGCCTTTCCCCTCTGGCCCCGCCAGAAGGTTAAGCCTGGGCGTGGCGGCGGGGGAAAGGCCTTTGTCCGAGGCCACTGAGCCAACGGCCGGCAGCCGCCTGGCTGCTCCCTCGGCCCAGCTCACCCTCCGGCCCCGACACCCCGCTGCCCACCCACGAGTGACCTCTGCAGACTCCCTCACGGAGGGCTACGGAGGAGGCCCCAGGTGAGACTCCTGCAGCTGGGAGGCCAGCAAGGACCCCGCTGCTCCCCGAGCAGCCCACAGGGGCGGCCCAGAGGCAGCTGCCCACCCCGGGCCAAGGGAGCAGCTGACGGTGACGGACAGGGCAGGGGCACATCTGCGGGCAGAGACGGGACTCCCCGGGGCACGGGAAGGGAAGAGGCGGCCAGGCAGGCCGACTGGGAGATGCGTCCGTGGAGAGGAGACGACGGAAAAGGGCTACAGACGAGACCAGCTGCGAAGCGGAGAGAAGGCGGGAGAAGGGGCCGGGCAGGGCCACGCCGGAAGGTGGGAAGCAGACTGCAGACAGGGGACGCAGGGGGGTGGGGGCGGCGCTGGGGCGGCACAGAGGTCGCGGCTCGGCAACACTGGAGGGGCCAGAGCAGCCCCGCGGGGGGCGGGGCAGGCAGGTGGGCGCCTCTCCCTGACAGCCAGCTCCCACCCCTGCCCGGAGCAGACCCCGAACCCGCCCCGCAGGCGCTCGGCCCGGCCCGGGGCCCTGCACAGCTGGCGGGCAGCTGGCTCCAGTGCCACCTGACCCCGGGCAGAGGGGCCCCGGTGGCTGAGAGGCCCGGGCCCAGGACCGCCGCCCAGCCAGGGGGAGACCCCCTCTCACCTGGGCCTCGGCCCCACTTCCCACCTCTCCGGCCCGGGGCCCGCTGGTGAGCCGGCCCTTCGTCTTCAGAGTCGCGATCGTCGATTTTCTGTTTTTGCTTCCACTTCTGGTAGCTGGGGCGGCGTTAAGGAGGCAGCTGCCATCCCTGGTGCCCAAGCGCCTGACACAGGCCCCACCTGCGCCCCACCGGCCCGGCCCCGCCCCGCCCCGGCTCCGCCCCTCAGGATACAGGTCTCGCTTGTAGGAGCTGCTGATGTAGCGGCCACTCTCTGTCTTGATCTTCTTCTTGTCCTCCTGTCCTGACTGTCCCACAAACCGCTTCTTCTTCCGGTCCCTGCGGGGGAGAAAGGGAGGCTGCCACGGAGGTGCGTGGACCAGGGTGGCCTGCTGCCCCGCGGGGGCCCTCCGGGGGCTGCTGGAAAATCAGGGCGGCCACGCCTGGCACGCACAGGTGTCCACTCAAGGCCCTCCCCTGCCTTGTCCCCTCTCCCTGGCAGCCGAGGCCTCGGGCAGGGGCGGCTCCGCATGAGGGCTGCAGGCCCCGGTGGGCACGCGGAGCCGGGACTGAATCGCGCCTCACTCCCTGGACTCAGCCAGCAAAAAGGACGGGCTGCTTGAGGTTGTCCACCAGGGAGACAGAGAGACGGGGCTCACGATGCCTGCTCACAGGACGAACTGGGGGTCACACTTCTTGGGGTGTCAGACGGGACGAGGGAAGCAGGGACTCGTGCCTGTCCTGCGGGCCCACGGGAGGGCACAGGAGGCCAAGCCCGCTGCTCACTCACCACTTGAGCTGCTGCCGGGGCCTGGTCAGGTTCTGGCTTTCGTCCCCCATCAGATCCAGGACAGCGCCCACCACCTGCTGCTCGAAGGCGCCCCCGTCTCCGACGCTCAAGCTGCAGGGGAAAGGTGGGGATGGGGCGCGTGGGGCGCATCGGGCCCGCCTGCCCCGCCCAGTTCTGCCGGCCACTCACCCCCGCTCGCTGTCGAAGTCCTTGGGCCGGTAGGGGACGTAGAACTCCTGGTCCCGCTGCTGGGCACCCCTCCGCCGCCTCTTGGCTTCCCGATCAGGCCCTGGCTGTTGCCGCTTCCGACCCACCACCTCTGTGAAGACATCCTGGCAGACCCAGGCCCAGTGTCACGCCGACGGCCCTGGGAGCCCCGCCGGGCTCCCCACTCACCAGCCCCGCTGCAGCTGAGGGCCAGGGATTCCAGGATGAAGAGGCTGCGCTGCCCTTCAGAGAGGCATCCGTACACGCAGTCCCCTCACCCCCACAGAAGCACCCGCAGAAGCAGGACTGGAGAGGGCTTGGGTGTCCAGCCCAGCCTGTGTGGCCAAGTCCCAGCGCTGCCCCTCTCTGGGCTGGCCTTGCTCTACACAGCTCGAACTAGCCTAAGGGTTTCCCACTGCTCTTGCGGCTGAGCCTTCCGCCCAACGATACAAGGGCAACGCGCCAGCAGGCCGGGACCCGGCCCACGGGGTGACGGGGACACCTCCCTGGTCGGCGGCCCAGCCTCCCCACACCGCGGTCCCTCCCGTGCGCTGCGTCTCTCTGCCTGCCCCGGACCTCGGGCTGAGGCAGCAACAGTGGCAGCGTCAGAGGCACCACTGGGCCCGTGGGAGCCACCCCCCCCCCCGGGCTCAGGGCCAGGCGCCAGAGCGGCCGGGCTCCCCGCCCCTGCCCGTCACCCTGAAAACAGCCAGTGCACTCGGTGGCAGAAGCCAACCGAGCGGGCGAGAGGCCGTCCGGTGTGTCTGCCGGGGGCCCTGCCTGTCTCCCAGGGGACCCGACGCCCTAACCGTTGCCGAGAAGGACACAGTGCCCGCACTGCTGAGATTCGGAGCCCCGGGGTTTTAGACAAGGGGCGGGCAAAAGCTGTGCCCCACCCTGCAGGCGGAGAGGCCGCAGGGCAGGGGCCAGGGTGGACTGGGTCACTCCATCCACCCCGTGACTGCGCGAAGCGCTGACCCCCGCCCCGAGCCCGGGGGCAGAACCAGGGTCCCGGGCAGGAGCACGCACCTCCACATCCCCGCACGCTGCCCCCTCCTCCTCCTCCTCCTCTTCCTCCTCCTGCTGCTGCTGCTGCCCCCGCGGGGCCGGGCATTCCAGGGCTCGGCTGCGCAGGCCCTCCTGCCGGCCCTGCCGCCCCTGCTGGAAGCTGGCGATGGCCTTTCGGTCCTTCTGACGCTTGGCACGCATCACCCGGCTGCTCAGGTCCCGGCTGGAGGCGTTGATCTCGAAGATGGTCTGCGGGGAAGACGCCCCCGTTCTTCACCCATGATCCCCCAATGCCAAGCCTTGGTGGGCTCCTGGTTCAATTCCTCACCAGCCCCTGTCCTCTGTGAGGCAGGGACTGTCCTGCCCGTATTTCACAACTGGAAGGGAGGCCCCGCGTGGGCCAGTCACCTGCCCAGGGTCACGCCGCTGGGGAAAGCCAGGGCGGAGGCTTCACCCGGCTGTGCGGCCAGTGCTCTCACGCAGAACACTCAGCCCCCCGTTCCCGCAGTGGCGGCCGGGGCAGCCTGGGTAGGTCTCTCCTCGCTTCTGTGTACCCCACCGGGGCCCCAGGTGGGGTATCCAGCGGGAGGCCAAGGGGCTCAAGGCAGCTCCTCAGGCCGCTCTCCGGCCTGGGCAGGTCCCTTCCTCCGGGGGCCTCGGTCTACCCAGCTGTGGTGGTGGGAAAGGCTGCCACGGGGGGCCCTGCTGTGGCCCGGGGGTGCTTCCAGAGCAGCCCTGCGATGCCGACAGGGCCAGGGCTGCAGGTGAAGCGGCTGCTGGCTCCGTGGAAAAACGCCCTGCTGGGGGCCAGGGGCAGCACCGGAGCGTGGCCCGGCCACCCAGCCCCAGGGGCCCTGGCCCACTCACCGCCCGCGAGCGGTAGTTCTTGATGCTGTCCACCAGCCTCAGCCGCTGCAGCTCCTTCTCCTCGAAGCGCGAGCCTGGGGGGAGGGAGGGGTCAGGCCGGGGTGGCCATGCAGGGCCCCCCCGCCCCCGGCCGGACTCACTGAAGAGGGGGTGCAGTCCCAGCTCCGCCAGGTCCAGCTCCTTGGCCCTCTTGATGGACTCCGGGGAGGGCGCGGGCCGCGAGCGCACGTACTGCTGCTGGGCGTTGTCGGCCACGCGGCCCAGGCCACGCAGCTCCAGCGAGGCCTCCAGCGTGGCCCGCAGGCCGCCGTCCTCGTCGTCCACCACGCCCTGCGGCACCCGGCCCAGCACGCCGTCCCTGGCCAGCGCGCCTGCGGCCCACGGAATGGCCAAGCGGAGAACGTCACGGGCCGCTCACCTCTCCGGGGCCTGGCCGCGCGCCCGGCCGCCGTTTCCTGCCCCGTGGCCACCTCCGCACAGGGGGCAGGGGACGGGCCACCTGCACAGCCTGGAGGCTGAAGCAGTCAGTGTGGCCTTGGGAGAAAATGTTCTCAAGGAGACCGGCGACTGCCCGAGACCCTCGTTTTCCAGGCGGGACCCGGAGGCCCACAAGCGCCCCTCGCCCCTGCCTGCACCTGCCCCAGCACAGCGCCCAGAGCCCTGGGCCCAGCACAGGGTCCCAAGCTGACACCTTCAGCGGCCAGGCAGGTGCACGGACAACAGGAGGCTGGGGGCGCTGCAGGGAACCCGGGTCCCGTGGCGTAGACCGCCCCTACAGGAGCCCGGAAGGGGCACGCTCCCCTGGCCGTGTCTGCCTGCCGTCCAACAGAAGGCAGGAACACAGACGTTCACACAGGACACTGGATTTGGGCCTCCTGAGCGGCGCAAGGGTCAAGTCTCAGCACTGGGAAGCTACCGCAGCCGCTGCAGCGCGAGTTCCCTCCCCGGCCAGGGAGCTGCCCACACGGCGCGGCAGACCTCTCCTGGCTCACCCGCGGCTCCCCTCAGCTGTGTATTTCAGTCCATCTGTCCGTTCTGCTCCCGACTGTCTCTGGTGGATCCTCTCATCACCCTCTCACACCTCTATCCTTCACCCCAGCTCTTGCATGCATGCATAAATAAATAAATAATTCTTTAAAAAAACAGACACCGACTTTAAAATACAGGGTCAAACCCAGCACCACCTCCTCCCAGCAGGGCCACACCGTGGACTTGGGGACCCCAGCGTGCCCCAGCCTCCACTCACCTGAGGGCTCGTCGTGGGGGCGGGCGAGGGTGAGCGCACGGCCCAGGAACAGGTGCAGGTCCAGCAGGTAGGGGACCTCGTCTGGGGCCACCAAGGAGTAGGCTGTGCCGCTTCGGCCGGCCCGGGCCACGCGGCCTGAGGGCGGGGGTGGCGGTCAGGGTGGAGCGAGGAGCCCGGCCCAGCACGAGCCCCTCCTCCCGACCCGCAGGCATGGGGGTCCAGCCAAGGCCGTGCCTCCCGGAGTGGCCCCCCCAAGGGGAGCCTGGCGGTCTCCCAGACTCCTGCAAGTGAGCAGCAGGGAAGACCAAGCGCATTTCAGGCCAGGAGCAAGGCCTTCAGCAGCCCCACTGTGGGGATTCTCCCCAAGGAAATAACCAAGGGTGCACAGATTCACACACACGATGTCTGAACAGCCCCACGCTGGAAACCACCCGAAGGCTGAGGGACAGAGACTAAACGGGTGGCCCCACCACGAGGTCACACGGCCGAGGACAGGGGCAGCCAAACGCCCCAGCGGCCACGCCTGGCCCTCCTCCTGTTTGGGTAAGTAAAGTCTCATTGGCATGTGGTCATGCTCATTCATTTACATGCTATCTGGGGCCACAGCAGTGCCAGCAACACACTGGTCCCAGAGCCAAGCTCTAGCCGGGCCTTTTCTGCAGTGATCTGGCGACCCTGCCATGGAATGAACCTCAGCGGCGAATGGAAACATGCCTGGAGCACAGACAGAGGAAAGAGGCTCCAGAAGGAGCGTCTGGCGAAGCTCTAGTTTTGTGGCAAGTGAATCCACGTGTGGCCTTACATCTGGGCTGTTTTTTGGCTTTTGCACAAAGTATCCCCACATTTGGAAGTGGGCTGATTACACTGGCAGTCACATCGTGCATGAGAAATTCCCTCTGGAGGTCCCAGGGACCCCTCAAGGGAAGCACAGAGCCAGCCTCCCAGAGCAATGGAAACTGGGGAACCACAAGGAGTGACAAACAGGAAGGTGGGGTGCCCTGGGCCCAAGGCTAGAGACCCCGAAGAGGCCTTGTGCACAGCCAGGCTGAGATCACCCCCAGGCCACCAGGGCTGCCGCTATCTGTCACCCCGCTCAGCCTCTGCAAATGGCCTCAAATGGACTCGCGGGGCCCCCGACACGCAGGCTGACACCCGTGTGTGGCTCAGCTAGCCGGAGTGACCTGGGAGGGCAGAGAGGCGGGTGTGGCTGAGCCGCAACGACAAGGTGACAGCCCCGAAGTCCAGCTGCGACTGACGCAGCGGGGCACGGGGGCTGGGTGTGGCACCTGGAGGCTGCCACAGGGAGCAGGGACAGGAGCTGACAAGGTGGCTTCAGGACGGGACTTCAGGGAGGAGGGGCCACGTGGTCAAGCACAACAGGAGCGAGGGTCCAGGAAGTGGGCGGGCTGCCCGCCGGAATCCTGCCTGTGCCCACCGTCAAGATGCAAAGCAGCGCCCCCTTCGGGCAGCCCGGCCACCCCCTTACCCACGCGGTGCAGGAAGAGCTTGCCCTTGGCAGGGAAGCTGTAGTTGATGACGTTGTCCAGCAGTGGGATGTCCAGGCCCCGGGCCGCCAGGTCGGTCACGATGAGGGCAGAGCACTTGCCGTGCGTGAACCTGGCCAGGTTGATCTTGCGGGCCGTCTGGTCCAGGGCACTGTAGATGTGGGCGCAGCTCACCCGCTGGGTCGTCAGCAGCTGCCCAGAGAAGACGGAGGTGGGTGAGGAGGCTGGCGAGAGGGCGGCCGGGCCGCGGGGGCCGGGTGCGGGCTGGCGAGGCCACAGGTTCTCGGCTCTCTGCGGGGACCCCGCTCTGCTGTCTTCATCAGTGCGGGGCTTGCGTGACCTGCAGCCTCTCCGCAGGGTTCAGTGCCAGAGACGCCGACCGACGGGGCCAGGGGCACCCGGCTACAGGCCTCCACTGACCGCCACCCACAGCTGTGCGGCCTCGGGCAAGGCGCCCAGCCCCGGGGGGCCTTCGCTTCTCCCCTCCAGAGCCGGGGGGCAGCCCGCCCCGCCAGGGGGCCGGGTGGGCAGTGCACACCCAGGCCAGCACGCAGGAAGCGCAGGCGGGATGACCGCTCTTCCGCCCGGGACCCCGGCAGCTGCAGAGGGGGCACCGTTGGTGCGGGTAAACGAACACAGTGAGCCCTGACCTCAGCCCAGACTCAGGTGTGGCTGCCCGGGCTGGAGCACCCCCACTTGTTGTGGCCGAGGGACACTGCTCTTCACAGGAGAGAAGACTCCCCAGACGGCCGGCCCGGGGCCGGGGCACCCCTCACATTTACAATGTGGGGGACACTGAAAATCTACGGAAAATGCTTCAGAGTGACCTGGGTGGAGGGGGGACGGGCTGAATGTAAGCGGGCTGTGAATGGATAACTGAGTAGCTTGAGTTCCTTGAGCTACTTTCTGGCCTTAGTTGGGAGCACGGCCAGCTTGTCCCCCTCTAGAGCTGCCCTCTGGTGGCCGTACGGGAAACTGCAGCTGCAAGCTGTGGCACCGTGGGCCCCACAGACACACCCCCACCCCACCCCCACCCCTCAACAAGCGGACCAGGCCCCCTCACCTCGCTGAGGTACTCGGCGTGGTGCTTCGTGGCCACAAACACCACTGTCTGGTCCTGGGGCCGCACCACAGCGCGCAGCAGGTGGAGCAGCACGGCGGCCTTGGTGTCCTCCCGCACCAGGAAGAAGGAGGTCTGCGGGGGGCGGGGGGGGGGGGGGCGTGTTTAGTCCCAGGACACACCGGGCAGGTGACTGGAAAGGGGCAGGGGCACGGGCCTCACCTTGAGCTGCTCGCTGAGCTTGGCATCCACATCCAGCCGGATGAGCACTGGCTCCGTGAGGCCTGCGGTGGGCACGGGGCGGGTGGAGGCAGTCAGGAGGGACCGGGGCCCCCCAGTCCCGCCTCGAGCCCCGAGTGGCTCCCCGGGCCCACTCACCCGCCCGGGCGAACTCCACCAGCAGTTTGGGCAGTGTGGCGGAGAACAGGACTGTCTGGTGGCCCCCAGGGAGGCGTGCGATGATTTCCTGCAGCTGCTCTGCGAACCCCATTTCAAAGAGCCTGGAGTGCAGAGGGCAGAGGTTAAGGGCGGGCGGCGGGGCAGGGGCTTCCTCCTGGTGAGTTCCAAACCGCCGTCCTGCCCACAAGGGCACCGTCGGCCACACGGCCTGTGCTGGCCTCACCTGTTCCCGTCACTCTGCCCACTTCTCTCTGACAACTTCACCTAAGCAGTGATGACCTGGACACTTGAGTCAGTTCAAAGATGTGTCTCTTACACATTTGTAGCGAAACAAACGGCCTCACCCTGGGCACGCAGGGATCCGAGAGGCTCACAGACATCAACACTTTCTGTCCCCACTGCACCCTGTAGGGGCCACCCAGGCCAGGCCACTCCGGGCCGAGACCCTGGGTGATTTGTCCCAGGTCACAGAGCTTTGACCCTGCCCCGGCAGGGCTCGGACTGTGCTCTTTGGCATTCCTGAACATAAGATAAAATAAAAACGCCTGGTCCAGGGAGCCCAGAGGTCAGCCCCAGGACTGCCCACGGTTCGTGGGCCACACCTGCGCTCCCATCTGGCCACACGGCTCCCCCCGGTCGGACTCACCGCTCACGTGCAAGGCATGCGCGTGTTGCCTTACCTGTCGGCCTCGTCGAATACCACGTACTCCACACTCTGCAGCTTCAGGCTCATCTCTACCGCCACGTGCACCAAGCGCCCAGGGGTGGCAATGATTCTGGAAAGGGGTGTGCAAGCCAGGTCACTCCTGGGCCACGGCCCCCAACCGCAGCCGTGTCCTGTCCCCAGGTCCTGGCTGCCTGGAAAGGGCCCTGAGCACCACCCCCAGCGTGCAGACTCACATGTCGGGGTTTTCGTGCAGGGCCGCAAACTGGTCTTCCATCCTAGGGAAAAGGAGCGTCTCTGTGGTCCTCTCCCTTCTCAGACCCAAATGCCCAGCGAAGTCCCCACACCCTGCCCTTAAGCTTGGAGCTAAGGAAAGGTTATTCTTGCCGTACTAGGCAAAGGCATTGCCCTGACAGGACACACAAGTTCATGCATACAAAAAGACGGCTACAACAAAGAATTCCCCTCTGAGCAACAAGGCTGCCCTCGGCCCTCAGCGCCACCCAGCAGCCAACCCCGGAACTGCCGCCTGCCCCACCTAGAGTCCAGGTGTCCCCTGGAGTCTGAGCTTGCACCCTTAACTTTAGCCTTCCTCTGAAGCACCACAGGACACCTAGAGGTGCCAAAAGTCTGCGCAAGCCTAGCCCAGGATAGCACTTCTAATACTCACAAGCTACATAGAGTTAGTAAAGTGGGCACACAGCACTGAAAAGCAAAAGTCAAGGCTGACTGGTGACAGTGACAGTCTGAGAGAGCAAGAAACGGGGGAGGGGCAGGAAGCGGGGCAAGAGACGGGGTCCTGCTCCCAGCTCCGGGCCGGCCTGGGCCTTGGCCTTTTCATCTGTGAGCCTGAAAGGCACCAGCACATCCGCCCACAATATGGTTGCCAATCTCAGCTGTCACAAGCCACGCCTGAGTTCGGTGCACTGGACTGAAACCGGCACACTCGGGCTTCTGACCCTCACATCTGCGCTGCCTGCTCAGGCACCCCCAGCCCAGCCTTCTCCCAGGACAAAAGCTGCAGGCTTTTCCAGGCTGCACGCGGCAAAGCCTTTGGGAACTTTACTGCGCGTTTCCCGGGTCTGTGTCTGGATGTGCAAAGGAGCGGCTGGTGCTAAGCTAATAAGCCACAGGCTTGGTCTCGGAGCCAGGCACGGCGTGTGTCTGCACCATGGGGGAGGGGGCTCTTACTTGTCCCCGCCCAGGATCAGGGCAGTCTTGAGGCCGGTGAACTTGCCCAGCTGTGGGGACAGAGACAGAGGATGAGGGACATGGCGCCCCACTCGGGCCTCCCCGGCAGGCCCCAGCTCAGCCCTGCCACCCTGCCCGGCCTGACCCACCTCCTTGGTGAACTTCATGGTCTGCAGCGCCAGCTCGCGGGTGGGGGAGAGGACAAGCGCACGGGCCCCGGCCTGGGCGCTGCGGGCCTTGAGCCGCTCGAACATGGGGATGAGGAAGCAGGCCGTCTTGCCGCTGCCTGTGCGGGCCATGGCCACCACGTCCTTGCCGTCCAGGATCACGGGGATGGTCTGGAGGGGTGGAGTGGGGGTGCAGGAGGGTGAGCCCTGCACGCAAGTGCTTGCAGCCGGTGACCCAGCGCCTCGGGCCGAGGAATGGGCCAACTAGGGCCCAGAGCACAGGGCGCGGCCCAGTCCTGATCGCCCTTTGCTAACCAGCCCACACCGCCAGTGAGCCCCTCCCTGCCGTCCCCGGCGGAATGTCCTTCAGGCCAAGCCTGACCCAGCTCCCTGTCCAGTCCTCCGCCCCAGGCCTCCAGGAAACCTGGCCTCTCTCAGCTAAACCTGAAGATAACAATCCTGGCGCTAATGGGGGCCTGCAGGCGACTGGGCGGGGTGTCCACAGAGGTCAGCCTCCAGGAGGCTCATGCAGGGGCCCAGAGTCAGACCTGGGCCAACTTTCTCCACCTATGAAGTGGGCGAGTTTGTGGGGCTTCTGCCAGAGTAGGAGGGGTCACAGATGTGCCAGCGGGACACGGGGTGCTGCTACTCGCCCCCCCCCCCGTCCCGGTCCCCCCGCCATACCTTCCTCTGGATGGGTGTGGGCACCTTGTATCCCTTCTTCATGATGCCTTTGAACACGGGGTAGCTCAAGCCTAGGAGAGATAGGGGCCAAGTTGCTGGGGAGCCCCCACAAGCCCCCAGAAAACTACCCAGGATGCCCAATGTCAATAAAGAAACAGCAAGAGAAAAGGAACTTGACAGAACAAAGTGGAGAGCACAGAGTGTCAGTGTTCTGACTCGAACACTGATGTGCTGGCTGCTCCCCCGAAGCCCCCGCGCCTGGCTCACTCACCCATGGACTGGAAGCCTCCCGACTTTTTCTTCTTCTTGTTCTGGGCTCGCACCATCTCCCGTGTGTCCGGCTCTACGTCCGACATGCACTCTGAGGCGGGGAAGGCGGGCAGGGGTCTGCCAGGACCCGGCTGGCGGGAGAAGAGAGTGGCAGGGTCACTCGAAGCACCTCTAGACCACTGGGGGCCGGGGCTGGTGGGGCCATGGTGTCATCCTGTTACCTATCAGCGCCCCCTAATCGACTCCATGCCAGATCATACCCCAGCGGCAAAGGTGACCCTGGCTGGGCCAGGTCCCGGGTGGGCACCGTAGTGGCTGCTGACTGGGTCCAGATCCCAGCTAGGGCGGGGGTGATCTCCCCCAGCCTCTGTCTGCACATCTGGGAAATGGGGATGGCAGGAGCCTTGGGATGCTGCGAAATGGGGAGGGGGCCCGGCGCACAGCTGCTCCCCCACTGCCATCACCTTTACCACCCCACCTTAAAACCAAAATGCCCCTTGTCCCAGCACACATAAATACCGCTTTCACGCCCCTTCTTGGGGAGGCTTCTCACACTACGGGGTGCTCCCCTGAAGCGCTACTTTATTATAATGATGACTAAACTTCCGTGGCAATTCCTAAAAGCCAGGGCCACTGAGCAGTGAACCCACCTAACGCTCACAACAACCTGTGCAGCGGGCTCTGTTATTCTGCCCATTTTACAGGTAAGAAAGCACAGAGAGGTGGAGTGACCTGTCCAAGGCCACACAGCCAGCTCCGGGGCTGGATATGAACTCTGCTCCGGGGTGTCAAGGTCAAAGCTGCAGCCCACCTTGTAGAGTCCTGGGCCAAGAGTGGTTTTTGTATTTTAAAAATTGTAAAATAACCAACCATACAAAAAACCAGGAACCCTAGATAGCCCTGCAGAGCCTGAAGAATTTACCATCTGGCTCTTTCCAGGAAGCTCGCGTTGGCACGCGGGGGTGCCAACCCCTGTCTGGATGCGCCGGTGGGCCAACAAAGTTTACCCAACGAGTCACATACGGACACGTCAACGAAAGGTTTTCGCTGTCTTAGCGGCAAGCCGGCCCGCTACACATGTGAGAACAGCGAGGTCAAGCAACGTCTTCCACCCGCCGTCAGCGCCGGGTCGGGACAGGTTTGAACAAAGAGCTTCTTCCTGCAAAGCTCTGGACACACATGCCGCTCCCCTTCCTGCACTTGTTACCTGACCGCTGCGTTCGTGACTTTCCGCCACATTTATAGAGCGCTGGCAGCGTGCATCGCACTGACTGCTGGGCTGGAGAAGCCGCTCAGCTCTGGTTTCTGGGGTGCAGGTGTCGGCCCCTCTTCCCATAAACGCCCACTCTTCCATCCACTTAGCCCAGAGCCAACTCGGTGTCAGGCCAGGGCTGAGCACAGGGCTGGGGGTGCGGTGGGGGAGGAAGGGGGTCATGGGTTACAGCCCTGTTGCCCCCTGGGGCTCACACACCAGCCCCTCTTCTCTCCTCCCATGCACAGCTGGTATCAGCAGTGGAAGCAGAGAGGACTCGGGAACCGGGATTGCAATCTGGCTCTCCCACTCACAAACCGAGACTTTGATGGAGTTCCTCAACTCCTCTCGGCCTCACTTTGTTCCTTGGAAAAAACGGGGGTGACTGTACTTAGGTCATAGGGTTGGGGTGAGGACTAAGTAAAGCTTGCAGGAAAGCTCTGAGCACCGCCTGGGCGCACGGTACGCAAGTTCCGTCTATTATAGTGTCCCAGAGGCTTGGGGGTGTCACCGTCTCCAACCACGTGGCTCAGCCGCCCCTCACTTCAAGTTCCCAAGAATTCCCCAAACTCTCCAAGTCACACCGTCAGCGCCCACACTTTTCATTGGACGAATCGGCACTAGGGCCCGCCCCCTAGACAGGAGGGAGCCAATGAGGCGCGCGGGGTCAGCAGCCGGCCAGGAAGGCCCGCAGGCCCGGTCCCCGGGAACGCCGAGGCTCGGGCGAACAGCCCCGGGGTGCGGCGGGCCCTGAGCGCCGCGCTCCAGCGGCGCCCCTGCCCGCGCCCCGGGGCAGCGGCTCTCTCCGGCGGGCGCTTCTCTAAGCGGGGAAACTGAGGCTGCGGGGCGAGGCGCGCGGGCTCGCGAGTGTGCACCCGCCCGGCGCCCGTACCTTCTGGGCCCGGACGTCGTCTTCCGCCTGGATCTCAAACTCGCCGTCTTCGGAGTCGCTGCTGCGCGCCTGGGCGGCCGCGCCCCGACGCTTCCGGAGCCCCTTCTTCTTCCTCCACTGGGCCATGGCCGCGCGAGACCGAGGTCCGGTCGCCGGGCGCGTGCCGGCCGCCATGCGGGCCCGGGAGCAGGGCAACGGGAAGGGGGCGGTGCCTGCGGGACGCACCCACTGCGCGGCCGGGGGGCGCCGTCCTGCTTCGGGGCGCCGTCTCCCTTCTGCCTCTCCCGGCGGCCTAGAGCTCACACGCACACCCTCGGCGGCCCGGGGCGTCAGTCTCCGGGGCTTTGGGACACTTGGGGGTGTCCGGCACGGGGCGTCCCCCGCGGCGGGAATGGTTCCGGCCGCGCCCCGCCCGCCCGGCTGGTTGGTGTTTGATGCGCGCGCCGAGCGCACGTCGCCAAGGTCCGGCTCCCCCGCGAGTCGCTCCGCGCGGCGCCCAGCACCCGGGCCCGCGGCGGCCCCGGTGGCCCCCGCCCCCGCCCTGGCTGCGGGGATTCTGGGAACCGAGGAACCGGGGTCTCGGGTGCTTCCTGCGGAGGACTGCAGACGCGGAGAGCCGCAGGCTCCGCGCGCCAGCCAGAATGCCCAGGTAGGAAATTGACCAGCTCGCGGGGTCCACCCGCATCCACGCGGGCTTTGACTTGGGGACCGGCGGACCTGAGCCCCCATTGTAGCTCTGGACCCCGATCTGTTTTAACTTTGTAGGTGGGACCCACACAAGTGACCTCGGCTGTTGAAGCCTCAGTCTAGTCATTGGAGCGCGACACGATCTACTTCGCGGGGCTGCTGAGGATTACAGGAGACAATGCTTGTAAAGCTCTTGGCTCCAGGTGGGCGAGGGACCACACCGACTGGTATTCTCGTGCTCCGCGTGAGCTCAGTGGGCCTCCCTGACTTCTCCGTCCCGTGTAGCTTGTTTTCCGGCAGGTACCGAATGGGACTCAGCCCTGGTACCCTGTGTTTATTGAGGATACGATCTGCTAGGAATGCATGTGTATTCATTATTCGTTAATTATTTGCCCGTGGCACCCCTCGCCCCATCACGGTGACGACTGAAACAAGTCAAGCCAATCTCCAAAGTGTCCCTTGGGGGTTGGCAGGTCACGTTGAGCACTGGTTGCGGGACAGCTTGACCCTTTGCCCTTGGGATGGGGACTTCCCTGGTGCTGCCATTGACAGAGCGGTGCCACCCTGACCCCCTTCCGCAGGGATCTCTGCCGGCAGGGCCTGGTGGACACAGGAGGGCACCCAGGGTCCCCCGGCACCATGGTCAGCATGAAGAGCCCCATGGCACTGGCCGTCAGTGGGGTGCAGACCCTCCCCCAACAGCACCGCTCCCGGGTGAAGGCCAAAGCGTCGTTTGTGGATGAGACTCTGTTTGGCAGTCCTGCGGGCGCCAGGCTGGCCCCTCCAGACTTTGACCCACCCTGGGTGGAAAAAGTCAACAGAACCAAAGGCGTGGGCACAGCGGCGTCACGGGTCTCCGGGGCCAGGGGGAGCTGTGAGACCACCTCCTCCAGGGCCGGCACCCCAACCCTCGCACCGAGGAAGAAGAACAAGTACAGGTAGCAGGGCGGGGAGGTGCATGCCTGTACTGTGTGGTCACCTAGGATCCTGTTACAGGCCTGCTGTGTACATGCTGTGTGGCCCTGCTCGGCACCTTGACCTCTCTGAGTCACGGTTGCCTCATGTGGAAAATTGGACCAATGATTCCTATCTACTGGGGTTGTTGGGAGGATTAAATGGGATGAGGCCTATATAGTTCTTGGCACAGTAAGAACTCTCAGGACACTTTCAAACAGGACTGATAAAGATTCTGGTGGAATACCCATCCCCATGGGTGGGACATCTGAGGCCCAGAGAGGCCGGATCACTTGCCAAGATCACAGAGCAGTTTGTGTATGTTACTAATGTGGTTGATCCTTGAAGTGACATGGGTGGGATCGTTCCAACTGTTAGCAAATCATTTTGAAAATGGGTTTCGCTGCATTTTCATGGCTTAGAAGCACAGTAACTGATTCTTGTTAGTTAATTCAGGTCTATTAATTTGGATTGTTTCAGCTTGAAGGGAGATGTCTAGTCGTGGGCCCTGGGGCAGTCGCCTGTTTATTATTGTCAGTGGTTTGAACAAAGACACAGAAGGTGGGTGTATTACCCAGTTAGGGCTTCTGTAACAAAACACCACACACTGGCGGCTTAGTATTTTCTCACTGTTCAGAGATTGGGAGTCCCAGGCCATGGTGCCAGCGGATAGCTACCTCCTCACTATCCTCACCTTGTCTTTCCTCTGCTTTCTCTCCTGGAGGCTCTGCCTCTTCTTCCTATTGGGTTAGAGCCCCACCCTTGTGACTCTAAAGGTGCCTATAAAAGGACATAAATTTCAATAAAAGCAAGACTCCATTGCCATGTCAGATTGTGGGCAATGTGTCTGATTGTTTCCATGCGTCAGGGTCAGGTTGACATTAGCAGCACTGACACCAACAACGTGCCTGAAAACACTGAGGTCACATTAACAGAAGCATGGTGTCCATGACAGGGGAGGTGACAGTCAAGCTGCTGGCTCATCTGGAAGATGGATTTTGTTCTGGGTGCTGACAAGTAGAACTTTGAGTGAAGGGGTGCAGAAGAGGTAGAGATGTTATTGGTCAAAAACTCCCAGTGCCAGACAGCCACATCAGTCAGATGTGGTTTAAGCATTTCAGTCAAGTTGTGAAAGGTTGACTCTTCACAGACTTACAGTTTGGGGGTGGCAGCACTTTCAGTCCTGACCCAAACCCTGTGTCTGACACCTACCTCATCGGTGTGCCATAAGTATTTGGGATTCATTAAAAATAATAGTAATTGTTAAGTGAATGTGAGAGACCAGATTGGGTTTGAAACTTTATCTCTAGCCTTGCTGTGGGCCTTCTCTGCCCTTTTGCCTATTTTCCTGTCTATAAAATGGGATTATCATCCTCCCTCCTGTAGACATTGTGAGGAATAATGAGATAATGCTTGTGGCTTCCTGGGTCTTGGACCTGTAAGGGAACAGGACTCTGTAGTATTCAGAATGTTACAGCTGTCTCTGGTGATGTGGTCAGGCCAGCTTTATAACCCTGTACGCTGCGCCCTCCACTTGCCACTGAGTTCTGCAATGGCCGATACAGTCAGGAGGGCCACTGGACCGCAGAGGGATCTGACCTGACCACTTGGAAAAGGAGAAGTGGGTCAGACACGGAGGTTGCGTTAATTGGGCCTCTTGGTTGCATGTGACAGAAAACTCAGCCACACTGGCCTCAGCAGCAAATGGACATCTTGGGTAGAGTGTGGATTTAAAGCTGGCAGCCTGGCTCCAGAAGGTTCTAGGCAGAGGGACCAGCAGATACAAAGGCTCACGTGGTGTTTAAAGAACAGAAATTAAGTCTGTGTGCCGGATCAGAGTGGCGAGGAACAGCTTGGGGCTGGTGAAGCCAGTGTCGGCTTGGCTTCAGAGAGGAGAGGGGACCCGGAAGGCAGACTGCGATGTAGTGGGACGAGGGGGTTCTCATTTTGTTACTAAAAGGTCAGCTTTCATACTTACGATGGAATATTATTCAGTCATAAAAAAGAATGCTACATGCTATGTGAATGAACCTGGAAAGAATAACGCTGCATGAGAAGTCACAACAGACGAGATTCCACTTGTGTTCCAGATTCCTTGAAGAGAGGTTCAAATTGGTTGGGGTTCTGTCCCATGTTATTGCTGCGTCCTCTCCTCCCCCACCCCCACCTCCCACACCCCACTCCAAATGAGATAGTTGCCAGCTGCTTTGCCCTTGTATCCTGCCAGCTTCCCAAGGCCTGGGGGGGCAGAACTTATCTCTTCCCTGGTTATTTCAACAAAGGTCCTAAGGCAGATTCTCCTGGGACACAACAAGTTAAGTGGTCATTCCTAAGTCGATCAGTGTGGCCTGCAGGATGCAGATTGGCCAGGGCTGGGGTACCCCCCGGGCGGTGGCATCTGGGCTCTGTGTGCATCCCCAGCTCACTGTTTCTCCTCCTTCTGCAGACTGATCAGCCACACTCCATCTTACTGTGATGAGTCCCTGTTTGGCTCCCGCCCCAAGGGCACCAGCTGGGAGACCCCGTGGATGGCAAAAGAGGATGCTGCAAAACTCCACACCCTCTTCTGGACACCCCCTGCCACCCCTAGGGGCAGCCACTCGCCCCGCCCCAGGGAGACCCCAGTGAGAGCCATTCACCCCAATGGTCCCTCTAAGACAGAGCCTGGAGTGGCAGCAGACGCCCGGAAGTTGTCAGTGGGTGAGTTAAACTCTCCACGTCCTCTGAGGAGGGGGCGTTCCCATTCCCTCACTCACCTGGATGTTCCCAGCCCTGGTCACCCATCTCCCAGCGCCCCCCATGAAAGCAGGCCTTCAGATCTCAGGCCTTCCTCATTGGGGGTGACATTCCGGAACCCCCTGGTGACTCCCAGGCTTCGCCCAGCCAGTGTTTCAGTGCCAGCTACGCCCCGTCCGGGTGGGGCCCCCCAGAAGCCAAGGCCCCCTTGGAAATGAGTCTCGTGGCCCTTTCTTCAGTCCTTCCCCTCGTGCACTTGGGGTCATGGTGAGGGGCTTCCGGGGTTGGCTCTGGTGGGCGCCTCTGAGGAGGTGCTGAAGAAACACGGGGGTAGAATCTGACCATCTCTGGATGCTCCCCGCTCCCCCCCGCCCCTGGAGACTTGAGGGCCGCCCCTTGAGATGCCCATCTCCATTCCTTCTTAGCCGCCAGCCGCATCAGTGCCAACTGGGGGTGCCTGCCCTCCGCATGCCCCACCCCATGTCATGTGCCAGGTGTGACTGGGCCGTGTGATCGCCTGTGAGGAAGCCTGGAGCCTTCCTCCCTCCCTGCAGGCCAGGCTTCCTGCTGCGCCTGGGCTTCGCCCAGGCACAGACTGTGGGCCAGGGGGCCTGGGCCGGGTGGGCGGGCACTGTGCCGTCTGAATAGTCACGTATTTATTTTTACGTATGAAATATATCAGCTCACCGAAGCCACGCTCTCTGCCGATTTCTTTTTCCCAGAGGGGAGGGAAAGATGAGGCTAGACCAGGCTGGGTCCGGAGGACGCGGCTGTGTGGCGCCGTGGCCAGGGCGCGCAAGGGGCCGGAGTCGGCATGGGGCCGGGGCCCAGGAAGTCACCGGCGTGGGCGGCCGGCTCCCGCTGAGCTCCAGCGTGGCCACTGCCCTGCTCTGAACGCGCGCGTATACACGTGCCGGGACTTTGCATGTGGAAGGGCTGAGGGAGAGGAAATTACACCTGCACTTGGGAAGCGGGGGCCGCCTTATTTCCTCAGTGCCTCATCCCTGTACCCCGTGGGCAGCTGTGACCCGCACCCCTTGGCCCTGGGGCTCGGCGTGCCCACTGCAGCCACGCAGTGGCTGTCTGGACGGAGACCTGCAGCCCCGGGTCCAGTTTCCCCCAGCTAAAGGGAGCCATGGTGTGTGTCGACACCCCATTCTGCGTGCTCCCCTGAGGAGACAGCAGCGCAAGTGTGGACGCGCCAGGAGCCCTGGGTGAAGTGAGGTTTATTACAGGAGGCAGTTTAAAATACTTGCTGGCCTTAAGGAGCCCTGGAGCTGTGGCGAGCAGACCCCCGTGCGGGCGCTCCCTGGCCTGCCCGGGTGTGGGGCGAGCGGCGAGCGGGCGGCCGCAGGGCGGAGGTCACTTCTTGCCCTTGGCCTTGGCCTTGCCCTTGGCCTTGCCCTTCTCCTTGCCCTTGCCCTTGCCCCGCTTCTTCCTCTTGGACCGGAGCATGGAGCGGACCAGGTAGCCCTTCCACACGGCCTGGATGAGGGTGGCGGCGCGGACCATGCGCACCATCTCCTGCTCGGCCTCCAGCCTCTTCTTGGAGTTCACCTCCCGCTCCGCCTGGATCTGCGCGAACTCTTCCACCAGCACGGTGTGCCTCTGCCTCAGCTCCTGCAGCTGCACCTTCTCCTCCTTGTGGATGGCGTCCAGCTCCTCGTACTCCTCCTGGGGGGAGCGGCGGGGTGAGGCCACCGGCAGGGAGCACCTCCCGCCACCCTCCGCAGACACCCCCACCCGGGCTTCCGCCCCAGCCGTGGCGCCTCAGCAGTTGGGGTGACGCAGCAGCAGCAGCGGTGGGTCTCACAGTAGGACCATTTCAGAAACGGGAGCCAGAGCACAGGCTGGTGGGGGCAGACGGAGCTTCAGATCCCGCTCAGCCACGCTTTGTGGGACTTCACCTTTTGAGCCTCCATTTGTCCCCATCTGAAGTGGGGCCTGTGGCAACCCTGGGGGTGGGGGCGGGGGGGCGCTGTTTCTAGGGTTAAATGACAGTCAGGACCGGGGACACAGCAGTGCAAGCTGTTGACTGTGGCTGCCTCTGCAGCACCCTCCCGGTCACCGAGTCCCACAGTTTGTCCCTGTGTCTAGCCGCAGTCTCTCCTGCTGCATCACAGACAGCTGCCTCTAGCCCTTCGTCCTGCATCTGCCAGAAGCAATGCACTTCTGGAGGACACTGAGTGAGGAGGCCGGTCTCTGGCGGAAGCCACCGCCCTCAGGGACTGGCGGGGCCGCATAGCCTCCAAGCCGTTCTCTGGGAAGCGCCCAGTGTTGGACTACAGGGAGGCTGGTGTCACCTCCAGGGCTCTCCAGTCTTCCCTGGCCCAGGACTAGGGCCACCAGTGTCATTGCTGAGCGGGGTGAAGGCTGTACGGTTCGCTGAGCCCCAGATCCTGTGCTGGGTATAGGCACATGGGGCTCCAGTGACTCCCCACCACGGAGCAGCACAGACCGTTGTCTGTTGACCGTAGGAAGAAAGAGGCTCAGGAAAGGCGAGGCCGGCAGTCGAGGCCACACGGCCGGAAATGGCCTGGATGGAACTTCCAAATGAGGATGGAGGCATCACTGCCGGGCCCCAGCACCCGGCACCCAGTAATTTTCTGGGTGGAGGAGCGGTGGGAGCATGCTCTTGGGATGAGCCCTGAGTGGGCTGGCTGCAGGCCCAGCGCTGAGCTGGGAGGGCGTGAGAAGCACGGAGACACGAAGTGGACACTAGAGGGAGCCACCATCTCAGGCCAGCTTCACCGCTTCCGGTGGCTCTCAGCTTCTGGCTCCTACCTTCCCCACCTCTCTTCTCCTGCCCCAGGCTAGACAAAGCCCTGAGTTCAAGGAAGGGGCAGGGCCCAGCCAGGGATGGCATGTTCCAGGGCTTTCTTGGGAGGCTTTTAATGCCACGTGTCTTCCCTAGCGGATCCTGGGAAACACACTTGAGCGAGGTGTGTACATAAATACCTGCTTTTCACTCATCTCTGTATCATACTTCTGGATCCAGTTCTGGATTTCTGTTTCCACTTTATATTTCTTCTAAAAAAAATCAATTAACCATTGGTTAATGGAATAATAACATTAGCAGAGCCGTGTGCTCTGTGTCAGCAGGCTCCATGGAGTATACTTTACCCACGTCTGCCACTGAGTCCACCCACGAGGCAGGTTTTCCTCCATTTCATAGATGAGGAAACTGAGCCTGAGATGTGCTCCCCTCTTGCCCAAGGTCACAAAGCTAACGGGGCAGTGGAATGTGTATTTGAAGCTGGCAGCCTGACTCTAGAAGATCCTAGGTAGAGCAGCAGGTGCAGAGGCCCTGGGGTGGCAATAAGCTTGTGATGTTAAAGAACAGAGATCAAGTCTGTGTGCTGGAACAGAGTGCCAGGGAGCAGTATGGGCCCATGGAGCCAGAGAGGCTGTCATGGGTGTGTGTGTGTGTGTGAGTAGGGGGTTGGTTTCTGGGGGGTAGAGAGAGGAAGCCACGGGGCAGCTTGCGATGCAGTGGGAAGACAGGCTGTCATTTTGTTTCTAAAAGATCAGCTCCGACACATGCAATGGAATATCACTCAGCCACAAAAAGGAATGATAAATGCCATGTGAGAGACTCCGTCACGAGACACCATAAATTCTGGATTCCGTTTGTGTAGCATATCCAGCCCAGGCAAGTCCGTAGGGACAGAAAGCAGATTAGCTCCCAGGGGCTGAGGAGAAACTGTCAGTGGCCACAGAGTTGGTTTTGGGCTGACAAATGTGTTCTGGGGCTAGATGGGGGTGCTGGTGCACAGCCCAGTGTCAGCCAGCTGCTCACTGTACAGTGATCAATGGTATGTCCTGTGCGTTTCACCTTCATTAAAGCAATCCGCTGCTTGATCCTGCAGAGCCAGAGTTCCTGGACCGACAGCCTCGGGGTGGCGGCCCCCAGGTGTGTGTCATCTGTGCCTTTTTAGGGAGAAGGCCCACGGCTTCCATCAGACGCTCAAAAGCGTCAGGACACCTGAATCTGGCACAGGGCTGGAAAGGGCGTCCACCCTTTTTGCAGAAGGGACTTGGTAGCAAGCTGTGTACAAGCTGGGTGTGGATTTGGGCTGAGATGAGGGAAAAGGCAACTGAAGAAAACATTGGGCAGCCGCTATCATTTCACTTAATTCCCCTAACAACACACAAACACACCACTGTGATCGCTTTCACTGTAGAGATGTGAGAACCGAAGCTGAGAGGAGCTAAGTGACTTCCCTGAGGGTCAGGACGGCTCCCTGGGGCTCAGATAAGTCAAGGCCCCTGCCTTGGGCCCTGGGGTGGTGCCCTCGGACAGGGCCCGCCTCCCTCGGCCCTGCCCCTGTGTGCTGTGCCCTCCTGCCTCCTGGGATGTTGTGCCTGTGCCCTTCTAGGGTGGGTTGGGGGCGCCCAGAGCTGGAGCAGCCTGGCCTGAGGGCCTCCGCCCATCCTCCCCTCTTCCCAGGGCACCTTTCTCAGCGCCTGCTCCGCCTCCCAGTTCTCCGTGACCAGGCTGTTGAACTGTGACCGCAGCATCAGGATCTCCTGCTGGATCTTGGCCACCCGGGCCTGGGAGGCCCGGAAGTCTGCCTTCTGCTGCTTCTCTGCCTCCTGCTTGGTGCGGAGCAGGCTGTTCTCTGAGAACTTGAGCACCTGGTAGAGGTGGTTTTTCAGTTCTTGGATCACGAAGTTGTCCTTCTCCAACTGGACCAGGAAGAGGAACAGGCCTGTTAATGAAATACCTACACGATGATGGGCATTGATCACGGGGTGGGAAGGTGAGGGGGGCTGTGGGGCCGTGTGTGTGTGTGTTGTGACCTCATTGACTCCTACCGCCTGCCCCTTCCTCCCCCAACCGGGACAGGGTTACAGAGCACGGAGTGATCTGTCTCGGGCTGGAGCGGGGTCGGAAACCAGGTCTGTCTGACATTTCCTGGCATGAGTGCGCAGCAGGCAATGCCAGCAGTCACAGCTTTGCTGGCAGACCCCCACACATGCCTGACTGTGTCACCCCGAGTTTTATCTTGCAGCCCAATGACATGAAGTCAGCCCTCCTGGATTCCAGATATGTCCAACTTGGGAGCTCCGAAGAGACCAGCACAGCCCTGTCTCTATCCCTAGGTGACATCCCTCTAACCCGGGAGTCCCCTCCTTACTGGGCACCCCACAGCCTGCCATCCCTCCATGCTAAGGTAGTATTGGTACCCCTTTTGTGCCAGGTTCCCCGAGGATACCTGAGGGAGTGGAAAGAGACAAGGCCTTTGCATTCTTATGGGCCTTCAGACCCAAATCAAAGAATCTCATGGATGTTTACCCACAAGCTCTGATGAATGCCTTAAAGGAGAAGTTCCTTGAGAATAGGAGAGGACTCCTAAGCTAGTGTGGGGCAAAGGGGGGTGGCAAAGGACCTCAGAGAGCCTGGATCTCTCGGGTATCATGCAGGGGATGAAGAGGAGCACCTGTCCTCAGGATCAGCTCTCCTGGGAAAGGCTCAGAGCAGAGTTTTGCTGGGAAGGTGGCCTCAGGTACGGACAGTAGGTAAGAGTTTGGGGGTTGTGTCTCTAAAGAGCAGGAAGAGCCCCTCCGTCTTTTCCCTCCTCCCTGCTAACTGGGCAAAGCTGGATTAGCCCTCAGGTCCAAAGTTATTTGTAAGCAAACTTTACTGGAACGTTCCCCCGCCCACTCATTCACAGATGGGTTATAGCTGCATTCCCTCTGATGCAGGGTTGCGTTCAGCAGTTTTAACTAATATTGTGGGCCTGCAAAGCTTACGGATTTACTGTCTCGCCCACGGTAGAAAAAGTCAAACTATCTCTGGCCGGGAAGGTTCTGCCCTCCCTCTCCTGTCTGGTTCACCCCTTATTCTTCCCATTTTAGTTTCAACATCCTTTACCCTTTTGGTTGAAGCTCAATTCTGTAACACTCCCTTACAGTACCCTGCACTTACCCTTCATTGTGCTTCTCAGAATTGTGGCTAAATCAGCCTTCTGAATACCTCTCTTCGTAACCACAAATTCCATGGAGCTGGGAGCATGTGTGCTTACTTATAAAACCCAACACCTAATAAGTATTCAAAACAGTAGTGCTCAGAATAAATGAGAGCAATGACTTGAGTCCCAGAGCAAAACCCAGCCGCTAAAAAGATGCAGGCGCCTCCGTGCGGCTCCTTCCCCATCTGCCCAGTGCCACGGGCCATACCTCTTTATCCCTGCTCCTCATGCTCTCCGCCAAGTCCTTTTCAAGCCCGTCGATGATCTCTTGGTTCCTCCTGTTCCGCCTGCTGATGTCCTGTATGAACTGGGCCTTTTCTCGTGCTTCCGTGGGACTAGTGAGTAGCTTCTCAAACAGGAACCCCCGGAGTTCTATCAAGCTGTCAATAAACTTCTGGGCCTCTGCACTTCGGCCCAGTATCTGCGCCTTCAAGAGCCTGGCAGCCTGGGGGTTATTGAGCAACAGTCTCAAGATGTTCTTGGTGGAGTCTTTGATCTGTTGCATGATGGATGATACCGTGAATTTCTGCTGCTCCAAGGAGGTGACACGGTCTTCGGGCCACCCTTCTTCGTCCTTGTCCTCTTCCTGCATTTCATTCTTCAGGTGCTCGAGGTTGACCTGGAGGCTCTGGCAGAGGTCTTCATGCTCTCTCAGAGCCTTCACGATGTCCTCTTGCAGCAAGCCCTCCAGCACATCCAAGCTGGGGGCCACGTGAGACAGCAGGGTCACCAGCTCCACCTTGTGGATGGTCTCATCCACTACACACATGATCCTCTTGGCTTCGATGGTGGTGTGTTTGGTGTCGGAGAAAAGCAAGGGTTTGAGGTGGGTGGGTGGCTTTTTGGCCCACTCTGCTGTCAGTCTGATTCTGTTGATGTCGGAGCCCTGGTAGAGCGGCGCCACAGTGAGGACATCCACCCCGACTTTCGGAGCTGTCATCTTGGGCTCTGTCTGCTCTGGGAGCTGGGGGCTTTGGTAGACTATCTGGTTTCCGTCGTCCCTGAGCAGAGAAGGAGTAAGCAGGGAGTGTGGCTGTGCTGGCATCGCCATGGCATCAACGGTTGCTGCGAGATACGTCTTAGATTTGTGCAGGGTTTACACAAGGCTGCTCGCTGGAAGGCAGCTTTTAGCTTAGTGACAAGGGTAGGAAATCCGAGTGTGAAAGGGCCTGGCCAGCAGGACAGACTTCAGTCTAAGTGTCTAGATGGAGGAAACCCATTGCACGGGTGAGGGAGGGGTTGAGAGGCTAACCAGGGGGAGGCCCCCAGCAATTGTCACGGGTGACTGGGGTGAGCTGAGGGATCGGGATCGCTCGGGGATGCTGGAACCACCGCCATTTCCTAAGAGGAGCGATAGCCACTGCCGGAAAAGCCACCTGAAGCAGAGCGGGGAATATTCTAGGGCCGTCCTCCTTCCTGCCCTCTGGCCTAACACTAGGGCCTCCTACGGGCCAAACTCAGTGGGGCACCACTGACCGGGGCACCACGGACCGGGGCACGTGGGGGTGCAGCCTGCGGGAGCCCCAGGCTGCATCAGAACACAGCAACACTGGCACCAGCCCCACACGTTTGTACTAAGCTTTAAGGATGCATTTAAAAATTAGGAATGCAATTTTTAAAGGATATATTTTATTTACTTATGCATACAAGAACTAGGGTGTATGTAGGTCAGAGGGGCAGGAAATGGTTGTGAGAGGACTTATCAGAGACAGAGTAGGGAGCAGAACAGGCAGATCTATTGATATACACTGCTGAGGGGAGCAGCAGGTGAGACCAGAGAGGTCTGCTGTACCTTGCCGGTCGCCTCTCTGGGCCAGGGAGCAAAGTCTCACCACAGTGGCTGGGGCTAGCTTGACAGTGCTGAGACTTTAACCCCTGTGCCACCAGGGGGGGCCCACAGGAATGTAAATATTTTAGAAGATTTATTTATTTCTGCATACAGAACTGGGGTATAGGCAGTGATGCAGGGACTGTGAGGGGGTTCCCCAGAGACAGGGGGGAGCAGAACAGGCAGATTGATGAAACACACTGCTGAGGGGAGCAATGGGGAGACTGGAGAGGTCTGCTGTGCCCGGTGGGTCAGCTCTGTGGCTGTGGATTGAACTTGCCCCAAGCAGCTGCAGTCAGCTTGCAGTGCTGTGCTTTAACCCTTTGTGCTACCGGAGAGGGCCTTTAAGAAACCTTTTTGCTGCATTCGAGTCTGTCTCCAGGACGGGATCACTGGATTGGTAGGAAAACTGGTTAAGTGTGACAGCGATGCTTATTTCCTAGTTTTGACAAATATACCATGGTATATAGGATGGTAACACGGAGAGGAACTGAACACAGGGCATATGGGAATTGTACTGCCATTGCAACTTTTATGTAAATGCAGAACTAGTACAAAATAAAAAAGCTTACGTAAAAGGTTTTAAAAAAAAATCAGTGATGGCCATCAGAAATCAATAATTTGTGTGACCTACAAGGCGCCAGGACTGAGTAGCAGCTTCCCTGCAGTCTCGCTATGCTTCCGTTCTGCTGGGGGGACCCAACGCTGGTTATCTCATCCCCTTAAGCCCGGACTTCCCACGCAGTGAAACAGAGATCCCCAGGCTTGATGAAAGGTTTCTGGCACAGAGCCTAGACATACTAAGTGCTCAAGAAATAAAGACTAATATTACTGACCCAGGGAAGCATGTCAGTGACTTCCTAGTCTTGAGTCTCCCCCATCCTGGCTGGAGGCGCAGGGCGGGCGGACTCCTGAATGACGGCTGCCTAGGGTAGCTGGGCGGGCCAACAAAGGCCACGCCCCTCGCTGCAGGCCCCACCCCTCCCAACCTCTCCTGCAGACCCACACTGAAGTAGCTGGGAATACTTAGGCTTACCTCCTCAGCCTCCTTTACAGCAAGGGGTAGCTATAAACGCTTGAAGCCAGTGACATCTAAGGGGAAATTTTCTAGGGTCTTTGGAAGAAACTATACCTTTCTGATACAAGGGAAACATGGTTTCCTCTCCTTTCCCTGACTGTGGGCTTAAAGCCATTGCAGTGGCGGCCACTTTCTAAGGGGAAAGAATTTTCAGAGACTCGCAGGAACGCTGCTTCCGATGGCCTTCCAAGAGCCCACCATCTGCTACCCAGATGGCCGTGAAAGCCCCTCGTCCTTCTTTGCCTGCTGATGCCCTCCTGCTCCACAGACCCTTCTCATCATAGCGCCAGAGGGGGGCTTCAAAAACGTCAGGTTCTGTCATCTGCCTGCTCAAAACCCAGCTCACAAGAGTGGTTAAGTTTTCAGGATGTTTGTGTGTTGGTCGCTAAAATGTTGGTTCTAAAGCGAAACCAGTCACGGAGGAAGTTTTTGCATCATGGAAACTGGCAACTGCAAAAAATCTGCAACCCTCCCACTAAACGAGCCGTTGAACACTTAATGGCACAGCACACTGCGGCAGCCCTTGGCTACTCAGAATAAAGCCCCTGACCGTGGCGTGGCCCGGAAGGCTCTGCCCGCTGCTCGCTCTTCTGCATGCAGGCCGCCTGGACTTGTCAAAAGTGCTCCAACCTCAGACAGGGGCTCTCCGCTTGCCCTGGCCATCCTGTCCACCCCCACCTCTGAGTTCCCTCTGGAATATTCCTCTAACATCTGCAAAGCTGGTTCCCTCACTCCCTCCTCTGCTCGAGTATCAGTGGGGTGACGAGTGCTTCTAAATGTGAAACTGTCTCCCTGCCCTCCTGTCCCCTCCTAGGCACATCTTCCACAGGTGAGTTATCACCTTCTGACCCTTCTCTCTGGACCTGCTTATCTATTCTCTGTCTTTCTCCCTTCCCTGAGAAGTAAGCTCCGATGAAGGCAGGGGCTCATCTAGTCCAGTCAACCACTGTGTATCCAGCTCTGGGGGAAAAAAACCACACATCATCCTGGGGCAAGACCTGTGAGCCACTTACAGGTGACCCATACCACCTCGACTTTCATACTGTCTGTGCATATGAGGAAGGTTTTAAAGAAAAGGTTGTTAAGATTTGATGACTGAAAGATGGGTTTCAGTTTGGGGCGGCTGGGAAAAAATGCCAGGGCCTCGGGAACACTTGAGCAATTGGGAAGGGAAAGCTTGGAAGAGGGAATCAAGAAATCAGTTTTAAGGGTGATGCGTGCTGCTGCCATAGGCGGGCAGACAGTGGGCAAGATGTCTTGGTCTTCCCAACATCCAGCTCCTTGAGGAACTCATTCTTTCTCCCACTGTGTAAAGTCTTGGTGGGGTCACCAGCCAGAGACGGCGGCTTCCCGAGATCCTTTCACCCCTAGATTCCCAAGAGTGACACAGGATGGTAAGTGGTGGGGGCAATTTGTGCCAGTGGTGGGTTCCTGAAGAGATACCCTCCCCCCGCCCCCCAGATCCCCAGAACTTCCCAGCTCTTGTCCTGTCTGAGTCCACGCTCATCTGCTATTCTGGCAGGGTCCGTTTCTGTTACTTGCCATCACAGAAGCCTGCTTACAAAACATTCTAGGCAGCTGACAGCACAAGACAACAAAGGGGCTCTCCCGGAGACCTTGGGGATGAGAGATAAATATAAGGAAGACGGTAATAAGATCTGAAGCCACAAAAGTTCGCTGGCCCAAGGGGAGAGAATCAAAGAAACACCCAAAGTGACTAAGAACAGGGAAGAAAGGCAGCAACAGACCGGGTGCTAAGGAGCTTTGTTCCTCGGCCAGGTGAAATGGATCCAAAACCCAGAACCTCCAAGCCCAGGATGGAGGTGAGAAGGGCATTATCTCACAGCTCTTTGACTCCTGCCCACCTCCCCAAGCCCAATCAATCTCCTGAATTCCTTCAGGCTTTTCCTGAAAACAGCATTTTAGGGACAGCGCGGAGCCGTCCTCAGCCTCTCTGAGGATGAAGGATCTTTGCCCCCCGCCATGGCCATAGGATGAACCCGAACAAAGTGTATAATGAATGTCTTCTCCCCATTGTCCCCCAAAGCTCTCAGACATAAATCAAAAATGCCTGAATTCTTCAGAGATTACAGCTAGAAATGCAACGTTATATAAAATGTTTCCAATTTGCCTTCAGCCAAATTACCTCTTTTGCTTTAAAGGGCACACTTGTTTTCTTTGATTATGATGACGCCCATCAGTTCTTGACAGCTCATTTGGGTGAACAAGAAAAAGCCAGTGGACCTAGGGTCGGGGGGGGGGAAATGCATCTGACTCTGATGGCAAAAAATCACTAGAGAGTCTCTTTTTCTTGAATTCTAATACGATCATTTCACGTCCTTTTTAATGCCACCAACCTTAATATTTAACTCATTTCCGACTTAAGCCTCTCCTTTTAAGATTTCTGCCCCGAGAGTGAAGCGAGATCGTTAATGGATGGAGAACTTTAATTGGATCTTCCTTTTATTTGTCATTAATTCTGCTGATGAACTTTACAAATGGAAATATATCTTTATCATGCAAATTATACCTCATCTTCCTGCACGTGGGCGTGTTGGAGATTTTATTACTTTTACTCTCAGAACATTTTGGGGGAAAAAATTGTGCTAAATGATGTATTTTTCCCTCTGGGGAGAAAGCGGGGGGGTGGGGGGAAGAAAACTCAATACCTATAACTACCCCACAAATTCAACAGTGGGATTTAGAGAAGTCAAAGGGTGTTAAAACTGGAGTGTGGGCATGAGTTGGAGGGGGTGTCGTTTTAAGGATCTTTTAATATTTAGCATGAATATTAATATTTTTAATATTAGCTGACTCTTGAGAACTTACCATGTGCCCAGCGCTGTTTAAAGGCTCTGCACTTTCGAACTCCTCTATCCTTCACAGTAGAACAGGAGGCACTTATTTTGAGCACCTCCATTGTACAAATCGGGATGGGGAGGGAGAACAAGGTCAGTCGTTTCTATTAGTCTACAGCTAGTGAGTGACAGAAGTGGGATTTCAGCCCAGGCACCTGTCTCGGGAGCCTGCCCCCCAAATCAACTTATCTGTCCAGGCTCTTGATTTTTTGATTACTTCTACAGTGGATAGAGCAGAACCATTCCCTGCTGTTCCAGTTTCAGTAAGTCTTATCCAGAGAACAGACATGTTCAAGATTCAATTTCTATAGCATTTGAGCTACTGAAAAAGTACAAAAATAAATCTTCACATTTGTTGTTTCCTATAGAATGTACATAGTGGGCCCTCCCTGATGGCGCAAACTGTTAGGACACAGCACTGCAAACTGGCCACAGCCACTTCAGTGCAAGTTCGATCCCTGGCCCTGGAGGTGACCCACATGGTCTGGCACACCTCTCCTGACCTGCCCGCTGCTCCCCTCAGTAGTGGACTTCGTCAGTCGGTCTGTTCTACTCCCCACTCTGTCTCTGGTGAATTCTGTGGCCACCAGCACCTCTGGCTTGTACTCCAATTCTGTATGCATAAATAAATAAATCTTAAAAAAAAATGTACATAGCATCCATGCTAACCTGATCTCCCTTCCTTTCTACTGCCATGAAGGTTTCCTGTTCCCTGGTAAGGATGAGGCAGAGATGCAAGCATGAAGTGTTTCCCTAGCCTTTTTTCTCCTGGCTTAAAAAAGCTTCTCAAAAGTCCCTGGGAGTGTGGGCGATTAAAATCTTTTAGCGTAGGCTTTGAATCATCTGTCATTGATTTTTATATTTTTGATATAAGCTTGAACAATGCTTTTATCAGTCACAAAGTTTGGAATTCATTGTCAACTAATTACCAAGACACACTTTGTGGCTGATCGCAACGCAGGGGCCTTTGTGTGGCAGGACACTGTACTTCATGAAGCTGAGCTGCTGGGCAGAGCCCAGGCTCTCATGAGTGGTCATTCTAATTCCTTCTGGTCCAAGCCTCTGCATTTGTGATTGCTGCCAAATCTACAGACCAAGAGGTACTATTATCAACTT